AGACGACAACGTTGTCGTTGACCGAGGTTTTAGAGATGTCCTACCAGTTCTCGAAGCCTCTGGCCTCAATGCTAGCATGCCGTCATACCTGAAACCCGGTCAAAGTCAACATTCTGACGTCCAAGCAAATCTTGACAGAACTATCACCAAATCGAGGTGGATTGTGGAATCCTATCATGGTCGTCTGAAACACTGGACGTTCTTCCGAACGCAATTGGTGTCTAACAGCTTTATCAATGTCATCGAGGCTTTGCTTCGAACCGTCACAGCCTGTCTGAATGGTATTAGAGGACCGATCTACCAGAGATCTCCAGAGAGAGATGCCAAAGATAGGCTAATGGCTGAACGTATGAAGGACCGTTTGACAACACCGAATGGTTTAGCTCAGAGAGTCAAGACAGATCCGGATCTATCTAGACGGGCAAGGTCCGAGTTTGTCAAGATGGATGCATCTTCCGTACTGTTTCCCCGTCTCGATCTTGATTACTTGAGAACCATTACGTGTGGAACGTATCAGATATCTCTGGCTCCTGGTTACATCGCCGAACATTTAAGTGATGACGGAGACTATGAGGTGTGGCTTTACCAGCACTCCCCAGACCTTCTCCGATGTCAAATACATTCTCGACACAAAAGCCAAACGAAATATAACGTTTGGATACGGTTCACCGTTTCACCCGATGTTGAGGCCCCAATAAAGGACTACTACTGCCAGTGCCCAGTTGGAGAGAGAACGATGGGAATGTGTGCGCACATCTCCAGTATCTTGTACTACCTTGGGTATTACAGGACGCTGGAAAACCCTCGACCATTACAACCACAGGTAAAGAAATTCCGACAAAACTTGAAATAGTTTTCCATGCGGCAACGGAGTGCATATGTCGAAAGTATGTTTGGGGCTCGATATGAAAGATCCCCGTTACCATGTGACTAACCAAACTTATAAATATAGGTATTATACAATCGCCCGTAGCTATGAACACTCCCGTAAATGCGAAAACCAACCAAAATCATAAGGAACACGTTTTGTTTGTTGTTCTGTCTATTTGTCAGCCAATGTCTTCAACCACGGGGACTTGTGAAGTAGCCATCTTGGATTTTTTTTATGAAAAAGTGTTTCTCTCACTTTTTTTCATATCTGTGTACATATTCTCAACATACCGAGCAAATACTCTCGTTTTTTTGTTAATTATCTAAAGAAAGTCGAAAATCGGCAATTCAACCATAGGCTAATTCAACCCAACATTTGAAAATGTTCCACCACTTACATTTTGATGATTTTTCCTCTCATCAATAGCATATTACGTACTGTTTAATAGGATAAAAATTGGTTTGCATCCAACGCCCATAAAAGGGTGTATTCTCTAAAAAACACAGTTTTTGTGTCTAAAATGTTATCATCGAAAATGGCATTTTTGAGATTGTTTCTTCCATAAAACAGCCAAATGGCGCGATGGAAACATGATTTTTTGTCACAATCATGCCATGAATGTATTCTTTACGGTGACCATCATTTGATTAGATTTTCATTAATATTTTACATAACATGCACATTTTATCAACACTTAGACAGCTTCTGAAAGCTACAACTTTGAGGAGCCATAAAAAACAAACCAAGTGACCTAAATCTTTATACTTTATAGATTTGTGACCACAACGGCATGGGCAATGCACCACCAACTGGAAATTTGAATCAGAGAAGGGGCCGTTTTGGAAACCGGCCCTTTAACATTCATGCGCAACTTCCTGCGCAGTGGCGCTAAATTTGAGAAGGATGGACCCACATTAACAGCTAAGGTAATTTAAGGACGTGCCTCCATGTGTGTAGTATATGCGTGCTTGAGCTTGTGTATGCAGGAGACAGTGCATGTTGGTGTACTTGCCTCCTTGTGATAGCGCCTAGAAGGAAAGTACACCAACATACCCAGTCTCCGGCACACAAACACATATGCACACTTAAACTTACAAAACACACATGTAGGCACGTCCTTTAACAACCCCACCTGTTTGAATAAAATAAAACCAAACTGGTGTTATTGCTCTCATACACTCTTGAGTCGGCATAAGATCCGCGATATCACAAGGAGGTAATTGCACCAACATACCCTGCTTCCAGTACACCTACACAAATGCATGCATACCCAACTCACATGTAGGTGCGCCCTTGAATGCTGTTAATAGGACGTTAAACAAAGACAATAATTACAATATCTGAGCATGAATGATTCGATACGCATAAGCTACCATGACTACCTCTGGGGTCCAAGGCAATATTCCTTCCTAGTGACAGGTTTTGTTCATGATTGCCATGATATCTACGTGAGAGACGAAGTCCTCTGGGCCTCCTGTTTACATTGATAAGTATTTTTTTTTACTTTTAATGGATTTATGTTAATGCAGTGATCACACGTTTTGTTTGATGTACTAACGTAACTGAATAACCAGTGTAGTAGACACACAATAAAGCCTTCAGCGAATATTGTCATCACCTTATATGCATGTAGTTATATGAAACCTTTTACGCCAATTTAACGGGAACTTGAAGCTACATTACGGTAGCCAGGAAGTGCAGATTAAACAAAAAGATCACGGGGCCACGTGAAGAAGCGATAACTACCGTTGCAACATATTACCGTTTAATATATTTTTCATGTAATATGTTTGAATGGAAATACGTTGCGTTTCATCATAAATGTTAAACCCATGAAGTTCAATTCTTAAATTAATTAGAATAAATGCAGAAACCAATTAAGCAATTTCTTTTTTTCGATTAAAATGGCCAATTCCTTAACTAATGGATTTTTGAATGTGGTTCACTCGTTGTCAATATAATGTGACCAGGCGGAATGCTGTGCTGGGTGCTTCTGGCATCTAATTTCCGCGGCACAAGATCCGCGCCATTACAAGGAGGCAAGTACACTAACATACCCTGTCTCCGACACATATACCTATGCACGACCGTCCTCAAATGACCTAAGCTTTTGATAGGATGTTAAGAAAAATAAAACCCAAAGCCTTAACATGATACTGTGTATTACGTTTTTTAACTTCAATTCTATGAGAATTTTAAGTGATTTGTTGTTTTACTTAAATCTAAATGTGTATAGAAATGGTTTGGTTTGTTTTAATTTTGTTTAACGTCCTGTCAACAGCTAATGAAATTTTAGTAGAAAACTACACACATTGACATGTTGGATGTCAAAATTTTGACGTCACAATGGAAATGATTTCGACGATGTTTTCCTGATGTTTTCAGGATATATTAAGATGTTTCTTAGATACATATATCCGATCACATCGCAGCGATAACAATACAATGCCACGAATAAGCTTATACGGCACGATACAATTATATCTTAATTACTCTAGTGTCAAATTTACAGAATGCTTCATAATAATTACAATACAGTGGTAGTGATAATGTTTCGGCTACAATAAAGTACACGATACAAACATATGTAAGTTAACCTGTATCGAACGATCACATAAGATGTAAAGGGAAAACGTAATGTAATGAAAGAAATATTGACGGTGGGGATAGCTTAAACGGTAATCATAGAACGGGGCTCCATAGATATTGGTTTTATCTCATAATACATGAAAGTAAGATTAAAAGGAAGTTATAGAATTTTTGCTAGGTATCAAATTGTTAAAATACCATTTGACATGCGACACTCCCTGTATTCCATACTTCATTTAATTACTCAGTCTATATACAAACTCCGCAACAACAGAAATTACACGTCAGCGTCATGTTTCAAGGTTATTGTTACACTACCTTAGTTTAAGTAAGTAACATCGCGACAACTAACGTGTTTTAAAAAAGAAGTACCAATTTTAGTTAAAAAACCGTCTTAACCCGTTCCTGTGCTTCAGCTGTACAGTTATCTACTTGAAGTAGGTTGTATGCTCGTAAGGTATGTATTGAAGATGTCTTTACGTTATATATGTGTACAGTAATATACAGGTTCTCATTGACAATACATGATGTTATATCAATTTGATACTACGACCTCACAATAAGGCAAATTTATATGATGTAATTCATCCTCGAAACATTGACGTCAATTGTAAATATTGCAACAGGATATGTTAAATACGTTTATCTATATGACTATTGCGTCACATGATAACAATGCCATTCACTTTATTAACATTTCCCTTTAACATGTTTAACTCATCATTCGGTCATTAAAAATACAATACATTGTACATCGATACATGCACCTGTGATAATAAATTCATCTTTGTGTTTAAATTTCAATCCGCCAAAGGCCCGTGAGTATTAAAGCTGATAGGTTAGTATCGAACCTATATTTTATATATGAAGAGAAAAACAGTTGAAACTAAATTAACGCTAATAAGATGATTCGACAGACAATATTGTATTTGTTTCGGAAGTTTTCATTTCACCTAGACCAGGGACCGGAAAACTCATAGTCTTGCTTTAAAATGTTTTTTAAATTTCAGGGTCAATCATAGGTACAACTTTGTTCTTTCTTCTAAAAGCTTATAAACAAATCTAGTGAAGGTAGGTTATATAAAATGCTGCATTTTGTTCTTCGATTGGTATAGTTGATTTTGCAAGTTTTCCTCACGTGTCTGGAATGTTTTGTCTTTAAATATGCAATAATTACTATTGAAATTGATTGCCATTCAAATGTGTTAAGAATATAAACGTATTTCAAGCTATCCTTTATTTGTGTTTCTTTGGAAATGACCATGACCATGTCGGTTACTTACCTACATTCTTACGACCATTTAATTACCAAAGAAAATAAAAATAAACACCATGTCATAGTCATATGATATCAGAACATTTAACAAATAGCATTCTTGCATATTTCACTTTATCATTTCCTCCTTCTTGCTTCGTTATATAGATAAACACACCTGAAGCAATGAAGAAGATGCGTTTTAAGTGTCAATTCTTAGTTGGCACAGTAGTCTTATCTAGTTTGATATGGTTCTCCATTGAGGACCTTATTTACGCAACAACGATGTCACAAAACAAACTGGAGGTGTACTCCGAACTGCATGCTAACACACAAACAGCTAGGAAGCATTTTGACCCAGGAGACGAGTTAAAGAAATTAAGGAATATCAAGACATATAACAAAACCCACAAGATGGCTTTGTTAGTACCGTTCAGAAACTGTACTAATGAATTAAAGGAGTTTGCACCCCACATGATGAAGTTCCTCAACAACCAAAGAATCCCCCACACTATCTATGTGATCAACCAAGTAGATGACCTCAGGTGAGATTTAATTAGAATAACAGAAAACATACTCTTTAATGCAATGATATGCGAAAATGTACCCGTTATCAGTATTATTTGGTTAAATATTTAATTAAATATTCACTACATCGTATGTTTTTTGTATAAGTCCATAGTGTGTGTGCATCATATGTTACAACATTGTTATTATTGCGAGGTATCGGGGGTGTTATTAACGTGAAAGTCAAAGTGTACGACTTTGTTAGTTGAGCCAACGGGGTTAGTCTTTTCTAACATGTAATTCCTTTTTCGAATTTGAACCATATTTTCAGATTATCAGTTGAGGAAACTGTATAAAACTATGTATCGATAGCTTTATTTTAGCTTATTCCATATAATCATTGTTACTAGCCATGATAATTTCGAAGAGTCTTTTAGAGCATTTGTGCGGATAGCCTCGACATCTCGTTAAGTGTTCTACAGATTATATTCATTTCATTATAAGTTTCCTAAGAAACATTTTTTTAATGATGTTTCATGTTTTGGAGACGGTGGACGTGTCTTCACGATACAGTTACCTAACAGATCTTGGTAAATTTTGACATAGCTATGCATTCATGCTTTTGCACAACGTTCCATCTGTATGTGATCGAATCTGTACTATGCTTGATTGATTTGTTTTGTATTGTTTTACTGTCCATCGACAATGCGAGTCATTAAGGGCCAACAATACTGTAAAAAAAAACCCAAAACATTCACGAAAATAAACACATCAAACCAAAACTTAAAATATGTAAAGGATTAACGAAATACATCAATATCGAACAAATTGGCTGCACAATATATATCATATTTTATTGTAAAGATCAAAATTGTGTAAATAGCCATTTATAAATAGCTTGATTAAAATACAATCCCGATTTGTTAAGTATTTAATCTAGGTATACTTCAAACGAGTTGAACAAAAACACAATCGAAAAAAGATAGTTACTACAGCTAATGAAGTGCATGTAGATCATGGCTTTCGAATAAATTGCCCCGCTTATAATTACAACCTTGACCTAATTTTTCCAGATTCAACCGAGCTACACTGGTAAACATAGGGTTTATTGAAAGTCATCCGGACTGTGATTACATAGCGATACACGATGTTGATCTACTGCCACTTAATCCAAAGCTGAACTACAGCTTCCCGTCTGAAGGACCGTTCCACGTATCTTCCCCTGACCTCCATCCCTTATATCACTACTCGGAATTTACTGGAGGAATACTGTTAATGACACGAAAACATTATGAGAAGGTATGTTTGTTATTGTTTTATATAGTTCTAGCAGTGAAACAACACAATAATGTACGTTAAAGTGTGGAAGGTATTTTAAGAAGAGATTCATGATTGGAGTCCTACCAATGAAAGTCTTTCGCTAACACTAATAAATTCTCACATTACAGGTAAACGGTATGTCCAATAAGTTTTGGGGATGGGGCAGCGAAGATGACGAGCTGGCTTTAAGGATCTTGCATTTTGGATTTAAGGTAACCTTTCACCATGTCAACACTGGATTCTTACGAATGTATGTTTGTAGGAAATAATTCCAAAAGTTTAAACAATATAAGGTTGTCATATTCTCGAAGCAATCTACTCCTTTATCGAGACACAAAACACACATCGTTTAATTAACATTTGAAAAATTAACAAAATCCTCGGCAAGCGTAAACCGCAGGCAGAATTTACACTAACTGCATGGTTGACCAATGACTTTGTCTTTGTGCGATCAACGACAAAGTGATAACAAAATGACGATAACAATGAAGCGTGAAGAAAGCTACTGAAAGTGGGAAAATTGCTTTCAGCTATTTATAACAACGACTCGTCCTGTAATGATGAACTGAAATATAGAGTAGATAATCCCGAAATAAATGAGGTAAATATATGATTTATATTTATTTTGGCGAAAAAAATAGATAAACCTATAAAATGAATTTTAAAATGTTGATTGTCTTTTATTATAATTATTACCTGTATGTTATATAGTTCATGTGAACATATTGACCTGACGTAATTAGACGGGAGCTCATTTGCATTTGCCCTATATGTCCGCAATTTTGGTCCGACAGGGTTTATTATAGCATATATGATGGTATATTGATAGCCTCGTATCAATTAACGGCTGCTGTTTACTGGGTTTTTTTTTTGCTCCGTAACCAAGTAGGGATAATAATTACTTTTCGCCTGAGCCCATGGTCACCGATTACGCAAGGTTCATCATCAGCTCATTACTAATTGGTTTCTAAGTGTTTACGTGTATCTGTATTGTCGTATATTGGTTAAGTTGCCCGACTGATCGGATCTTGTTATGACTTAAGGTCATGTTAGGTCGGTTTGCTCTATTAGTCCGACTGGCCGCCATCGTGGTCCGACAGGATTATGTATATAACGAGCACGTGAGAGAGTTTCGGGGAGTTCAAACTAGGAGAGAGTTAAATGTACGAGAGAGGATTTTATACCACGAGTATTGTATATTACGAGAGTTTGATTATATGTTGCCTATGTGCTGTGCTGTGTATGTGTGCGCTATACTGGATTGTATGTGAGTACCTTGGAATTGGTATACTCTACGATGCTGTTTCTATATACAATCCGAAACTAAAAAAGACTTCGTTGGTTTGTGTATTGCTCAACTGCCCATACTTTCTTCAGATTTACTTGAGTATTGTAGCTGGTGTCAGTCGCTACGCGGGTAGGGTGTCCTCCTGGGTAACTTCGGCAGTATGTTTCAGTGAGGTAGCACTATACAGTCGGCATCAGTTCCGCGCTATCACAAGGAGACAAACACGAACATATCGCAGCCTCCCGAAACACACACGCATACACTACACACATACACTACACGCATGCGTCTTGCACACGGGGGGAGGGGGGGTCTGTCCTTAAATGACCATAGCTGTTGATAGGACTTTAAACAATACTAAACAGATTTTTGCAGTGTGTAATCCCACAATTCTGTTTCTGTTATATCCAGATTAGACGTCCACTTGGTCTAAAGACAGGTGTTTGGAATACTTTCCGCCACATTCATGAAACTGTTAGGAGGCCCAGAGATAAGATCAGATTCTTCCATCAAAATAAGGTAAGGTATAGTTGAACAAGAGGCCCAATGAGCCTGCATCGCTCACCTGGTATAAATATCACACTTGTAACCTTAAACGTGATCTAAAACAAAGCTAAAGGCAAAATATCAGTATTTATGATTAAGTAATTCAAAATGAACTATTAAAAGATTTAAAAACATTTCATCCCTTTGACCTTATAGCCCTTCATCTCAGGATGCAACTTGCAAATATCACCACCGTATCCTTTTGTTTATTAAAATCAGGTAATTTAAATGTTTATACATATTTGACCAAATGGACCTTGAAAGTGGGTCAAGGTCATTCACATGAAAAAGCTTGATAGCCTTTCATCCAAGCATACTACTGGCTAAATATCAACATTCAAGATTTCAGAAAAAATTGACCCCAGTGACCTTGACTAAAGTCAATGTCCTTCGCTTTCACAAACTTGGTAGCACTTGATAACAGCATAATACTGACCAAATATCAACATTTTAGGCCTGATGGTTATTCAGAAAAAATGTTTAAAGATTTTTTACATATTTGACCCCTGTAACCTTGAATATAATGCAAGGTCATTTATTTGAACAAACTTGGTAGCCCTTCATCCTAGTCTACTACTGATTAAATATAACCTTCCTGGACATTTTGGCTATTCAGAAGAAGTTGTTCAAAGTTTCTAACATATTTGACCCCTGTGACCTTGCATATGGGTGAAGGTCATGCATTTGTACAAACTTGGTAGCCTTCATCCCAGCATGCTACTGGTCAAATATCATCACCTTGTGCATTTTGGTTATTCAGTAAAAATTGTTTGAAGATTTTAACATATTTGACCCCTGTGATCTTGAAAATTGGTAGAGGTCATTTATTTGAACAAGGTTGGTTGCCCTTCATCCTAGCATGCTACTGCCACACCCTGTACCTTTGGTTATTACGAAGAAATCATTTACAAGTTTAAACATATTTGACTCCTGTGACCTTAAATATAAGTCAAGGTCATTCATTTAAACAAACTTGATAGCCCTTCATCCTAGTCTGCTACTGACTAAGTACCAACATCCTGGGCATTTTGGTTATTCAGAAGAAGTTGTTCAAAGTTTTTAACATATTTGACCCCTGTGACTTTGAATATAGGTGAAGGTCATTCATTTGAACAAACTTGTTAGCCCTTTATCTCAGCATACTTCTCGTCAAATATCATCACTCTGGGCATTTTGGTTTTTCAGACGTTTTTTTTTTTTAACATATTTGACACATGTGACCTTGAAAATTAGTGAAGGTCATTTATTTGACAAAGTTGGCAGCCTTTTATCCCTGTTGGCTTCTGGTCATAAATCAACACCCTAGGCCTTTTGGTTATTAAGAAGTTTTTTAAAATAAAAATATTGACGCCAGACGACGGACGCCGCACCACGGCATAAGCTCACTTGGCCCTTCAACAACAATGAAGTCAAATACATCAAATAAAATAATATATTTTGGCATGATGAAGTTTTCTATATCGTAACACTAAACAAGAGTAGATATGATAAGAACCTATCCTTTAAAGACAGCTACACCAAAGACAAGACACAAACTCTCTCTCTCCGTCTCCTTTACAGAAAAAAGTTGACGGACGGACGGACGGACGAACACCAACGATGAACCATGCGAGCTAATAAAACCAAACTAATAAAGTTGAAAAAAATGCGCCATTGTAGAATTCCTTACATTGATTCTATGACTTTTGGAAACAAATTTGTTAATGATGTATTTTTATTTTGGCGCCTTTTTGGATACTATTGTTTCTGCTTATCGAATATGATATCCGATTTTGCACATATCTGTTAAATCAACGCTTGGTTTATTTTTATTTTTTGACGTCCTATTAACAGCTAAGGTAATTTAAGGACGTGCCTCCATGTGTGTATGTGTGCCGGAGACTGTATGCTAGTGGAATAAACGGTATTGTTTTCAGCTTTAATTTGATTAGTTGGAATTATATCTCGAACTATATCTGTTATATTACAATATATTATCATTCAATTCGTTTGTTTGTTTTTAGACGAGTTATGTTTATTCGTTTTTATATATCTAACAGATAAGAAGACATATGGATTTGTCGTCTGGGTTGAATAATACACGATATACCGTTGAAAGTCGAAATACAACACTGATCAATGGAACACACGTCACCTTTATCAACGTACACATAACTTGTGACGTAAAAATCACGCCTTGGTGTCTCAAAGAAAAAAACCATCACCGCTTAAAAACATGAACTCAGTCGGTTAGCTTAATAACAATCGGTATTGGAAGTGTTAAATTTTGTGTTGCCGTGTTATTGATGTCATAACAATCAGAGAGTACCTATGTATGTAACGTTGAGAAGAACGCATAATCATGACGCTTTGTATGGGTCTCCGAAATCATTTCCTCATTTTTATTTAAGATTTTAATTAAGATTTGCCTAGATTAAAAACAATATTCATCACGGGTGATCCGTCCCTGCAGGTAGGGCGTAAGAATTGTACCTGCTGCCCCCATTGCATGATCGTAAGAGGCGACTTAATCTGGGATCTTATCTTTTCTCTTCTTTCTAAACAATTTTCTTCTTCCTAATGACTCCCTTGACAATGCCCCACTTTTGGCCTTTAGTTAAGCGTTCGCCTCTGTGAGGAAGGCTTTGGGTTTTGTCCCATGGCCAAAACATACCAGAGTCTGTAAAAATGGTAGTTTTTACTCCTGCTTAACGCTCAGCAGTTTAGGAATGGGACTTTGGTATGTTCCGGCCTGGGGAATCATTGCCTTTCTCACCTGGGTGAATGCTCGACAATAAAGCCGAATGTGAGGCATTGCCAAGCGAGGCGTAAGGAAAATATAAGAATGTAGAAGTAGAGAGAAAGATTAAGATCCGAAGTATTGCAATAGGTGGCATATTTATTTTGGTCGCTGGCGTGTCCCAAAAATGAGGACACAAAAGCAAATCCCGAATTCTGCAGTGGGTTACGACATAAGTCGCCTCTTACGATAACATCAGGTGTATACTTTTCCCGATCCCCGACGTGCAGGGGTGTATCCTAAGATATAACAGTGAAATCATGTATGTTAGTTTTCGAGAGAACGATTTGTAACGACAAAAGGTGCTGCTTCATATACATGGTATTGTTATGTACTCAAAATTATTCAAATATGGTTAACACACAATTTAGTAGCCTGTATAAAAAAGACCGATTGTTTGAAGCCAATTTATCTTTGATCGGTCTTATAAAGAACTAATTATTTCTAAATGAAAAAGTCGTATGAAGTAAACTTGTGCTTAGTGACTGACAGATTCTGATGAAAAAAAAGAACCACGTGTAAATTAAGTAAAAGAAGCTTGATTCATGAGTTAGTGAAAAGAAGTTAGTCAGCCCTGGTCATATCCTCCCTCCTTCTGATAGGCTGTGACACAGAAATTTCAGCTTGAGGTGTGCTACCAGTATCATTGATTGTGTAACCCGTGGCTTGCATTCGTGCCTAGGATAGTAGTTATAAATTCAATGATATCATCCCTAACATTTCTCTGGTATTTCTCCATCGTGGAAACCGATTCCTAATAAATTTTGTCTCAAAAAATGATACCTGCGTTTGTAATCTGATTTTGTTTTATTTCTACATAGGCTCTCCCATTGAACATTGATGGTGTCGTCATGTTTGTTTAATACTATGACGTCACCAATCAGTGACATTCATTTCTGGCCTACTCTGCAGACTCTGCTGGTGGATGACCAAAGTAGTTTGAAACCACCTGGTTATCCTCTAAATATTATTTATATATATATTTTTATAATTCATATATGAATAAAATAAGAAGAGTAACGCACCTACTACTGTTATTTGACAACAGTTTAGATTAATTGGATTTACATTTTTTGGCTCCTAGCATCACCGATGAGTCCTTAAAGGATGAAACTGCTATGTGATACAGTGATTTGGTTTCATTTTGTTTAAATCAATATGATTGTAAATTGTAAAGGTGTAGTCACCTGTGTGTGGGTTATGTTCATCTTTCATACACTAGGAAATATTTTGCCCTCGGGGTGACAAGGCAATTTCGAATATGTGAAATGGATGACACTATTCTATGACTGGTGGCAGAAATCAGGGTCATTGACCCACACGTATATTGAGTGTTTTGTGTAAAATAAGCATGTTTGGTGAAGAGACTTTATCCTCACCCAAACAATATATAACAATTGGTCACATTCAACACAAACAAGCTTTATCATTACCAATGGACATTAATTGGACATAAGTAACTTATCGATTTATATATAAAATGTTTATTTTGAGTAGATGTAAATATTGATTATGCACACACTGACAGGTCAAATATATAAATATATAAATGTGTGTTTGTGATGGCATGTACATATTCTGAATTGTATATTGATGTAAAATTTCCTAGAAAAAAACATTGGACATTTAGTTGTGACTGTTTGTCTATGCTTAATACTTTTGTTTTATATTGAATCATTGAGAGAAGAGCGACATCTCGTTGCTAATGACTTGTTGTCCCTTACCTTAAATTGCACTTGCATTTGAAATCATAGGGCATGTCTTTTTGGACCAAGATACACGGATACTGTGTTTTAATCATTGCAATGTCCAATTCCCAGATATTAAAATTATCAACAGTGATAAAGTATCAAGATTCCTACTTGAAAACTTTTTATTTTGTTTTGTTTCATTCAAATATCTTTCAATGGGTTGACAAGACATGCAATAAATATGAATGTTTAAGTCATTTTAGCTCGCCGTGGCGTCCCTCGTCCGTACGTCAATATTTTCTTAAAACGAATCATTCTTAACTACCAATGAAAATTTAACTAAATTTGGCTGGAAGCACACCTATGTGGGAGGGATTCAGAATTGTACATATGGTGGGGCTGACCTCCCAGGGTGCTAAGGGGTGGGCCGAAAGGGGACAATCTGGCTATATTGCTATAAACGACTTCTCTCTAGAACTATACTCTAGATATCAATCATATTTGGTTGGGAGCATCCCTAGGTGGTAGATATTCAAAATTGTACTATTGGTGGGGCTGGATCTACCCAAAACATTGCATACATTTGCTTAAAGTTTTTCATGTCACGATGATGATTTTCGATAAATTAGATACTACATGTATGACCCCACAGCCAGGCACTTGAATTTTGGTCCTGAAAATATACAGCAAGCAACGCATGTCCCTCTGGAACAATAATAACTGTCGATGTGTTTTGTTTTAATTTTACTCTTTTATTCGGAAATTGGAACTTCATAAAGTGGTATCATAAGGAGATACGCTACACGAAAACCTATAGCTTAATGGTAGGGAAACACTTATTATTTGATTAAATTATTTCACTGATGTACGGTATAGATTCGCGGAACTAATATGTTGTGGCTGGCCCGATCAGAAATACGCCGAGGGGATTACATTTTCCGTAACATTGAAAGATACAGATTTGCGCGAACGAGGGAACCTTTTTATTTGGATGATGAGATTTATTTTTCAAGTGTTTTATCTAAAGAACATAAAACACGATTTTGAATAATTCTCCACTATTCGGCAGTAAAATCGAAAATTACCAACTATACAGTATAATATATAACCAATTTGTGTAAAATTGACAGTCACATTATAGTTTAATCAGCAATCAGCAAACCCAACGTTAATATGACTGGTTCAGTACCAGGTTTAAGCTGTACTGAATCGTTTTACGTATCTATTTGGGGAGAGGACTATTTTGAAAGACCAAAACAAATATGTTTCAAGTAAATCACGTCAACTTAATCTGAATTATTACATGCACGAGTGATTGTGATCAATCATTGATACATGAACATGCTATCACTCAACTGTCAAACCGTCATCACACCTGGAAGTCATCGCAAACCACAAACCATATCAACATGGCTGCGAATGCACCGTGTAAAGCCTGTTAAGTGTTATCGTATAGTATATGTATGTATATGTATCTATTTGAATCCACATGTGCACCATGTGAAATGTTGACGAAACAATATTTATATTTACTTCTACCGAGTTATGAGTGCGCATATATAATTGTCTAGTTCGAAATAAAATATGCCGAATAACAAAGTCTTATTTTGATGTCAAAGCCGAGGGACAAGTGTAGGTTTATCTAGCAAAGGTTTGGTTTTATTTTGTTTAACGTCCCATTAACATCTAAGGTCATTTAAGGACGTGCCTCCATGTGTGTTGTGTAAACGTGATAGGCAGGGTATGTTGGTGTGTGCTTGCCTCCTTGTGATAGCTATCCCTGCAGGTGGGGGATCGGGTAAAAATTACACCTGCTGTTACCCACTGCATGTATCCACAATGTCCACTACTCGGCGATTAAAAAGCGACCTAAATGAATCTGCTGCTCCCATTGCAATATTTGGGATCTTTCTCTAGGCCGGGACATACCAAAGTCCTTACAAATAGTAGATGTTATTCCCTACCTAACGCTCAGCATTTAGGGGAATGGCAACAACTGGTTCACCCATTGTCAGTATAATGTGACCGGGCGGAATGCTGTGTTGGGTGCCTTCGGCATGGTATTTCAGTGAGATAGCACTATAAAGTCGGCATCAGAACCGCTATCATAAGGAGGCAAGCAATCAACATACCCTGTCTCCTGCATACACACACGCAATCACACATACACCACGCACATGGAGGCAAGTCCTTAAATGACCTTAGCTGTTAATAGAACGTTAAACAAAATTTAGAAGTCAGAAGTACATTGTAGAAAAAAAAAGAAAAAAAAGAAATAAATGGATACAGCAGATTATTTTGGTCGCTTTCGTGTCCCTTACTAATGGCGCAAAAGCAAACCTCAATTTCCGCAGGGGGTTCCCTGCACCAAAGGACCTTTCCATCCATGAAGAGTATTTGTTTCGAGCGTAAATTCGTCTCGGGAAGAATTTTCTTGAAAATTATGACCACGCCCCTCATGCCTTTTGGGTAAGTCCATGTCTTATTTTTCATACTATCAAATTGCAATCACATGATGACAATCTAACTAACTTTGAATTACATTCCACTGAAAAAAATATATATACCAAAAATTGTTATTTCCCTATATAAACCATAGTAAACTTGACCTCCTCCCCGGGATGGAATGAGTAACCTGAGAGTAATGAAATTCACACTTGATAGGCACTTTAGGAGCCTTTCATCCACGAAGAGTATTTGATTTCAGCATTTCTGGATCTGGAGAAGAAGATTGTTAAATTTTTGTCAACTGTACCGCTTTTGACTCCTTTCCTCAGGTTTTTGTGGGATCATATCCATATAATTCACTACTTTGTTTTGTTGATGACTATGGAACCTTCATGGGAAATGTTATTCAAATAGGTTCAGTGGTTTATCGGAGGTTGAAAAAAGAGTAAGAGAAATCTCATGTGTTAGTGAGAACCATCGGCAGCATTGCGGGTTAAAATTTGAGTCATCTCCTTTGAGAAATAAAACCAACCGAATGTATATAATGCACCCATTACAACATTCGGGATCTTTATCTTTTCCCTCTACTGTCTAACAACTCACTGTTGGCATACTTGTTTCATTGGTTTTATTTTATTTTTAAACGTCCTATTAACTGCTAATTTATTTAAAGACGTGCCTCCATGTGTATTGTGTATGCATGCTTAAATAACATGCCGAAGGCTTCTAGAATAGCATTCCGCCCGGTCACATTATACTGATATGGGTGAACAAGTTAAAGGCAAACGATACAGATTACTAATTTATTGCAAGAAAGATAAGAGTGGGGATAACTAAAGCGGTAATGATCAAATGGGGCTCTATGAATCGATTTCCCTAATTATACATGAAGTAAGATTGAAATGAAGACATACAGTTGTGGGATCGCAGAACGTTACACGATGTGCGGTAAGTGCACGATGTATGCACGATGGGCGAACGATTAAATTTGGACGATTATTTCTTGCGCACATTTGTGCGGACGATGGACGAACGGTGTGGGAAGACAATCGTGGCTGGTGTAAATTGAGAAATGGCTTAACAATAAATACGGCATCGTGTTTAAACATAAACTTGATTTTTAAGTATGTCTTTATTATAGCTACATATACCAGCTGATTTTTTTTACATTTATATTTATTTAATTAAGAAATGGTGATTTCGGTGTTTCTTAACGACCCAAATCGACATATGTAAAATAACACATATCGACAAGGTCACGTATACAGGTAAACATAGCCACTTTAAATTTGTACATGTACCTAGACTGTAGTTAACTCACCCGGGGTACTTACGTAACTCGCCAAGGTGTGAAAATCCAGGTGAAGGGTAGCTTTAGACAAAAATGAATGCAAATAACAAATTCTTAACGCCGAGTTGTGTTTTCATAACGGTCATACGGTATCACATACCAGTTCTTTTTGTTAGGCAAATGCCAGGTAAAACTACGATCATTCATGAAAATGTTATTTACCTATTCTGTTACCTGGGAACTAAACCCATTCTTAACAGTCTAACAGTCAATCTAATGCCGTGTAACAAGCATTGTAAAATTGAACATAATCCTAATCAATTTGATAAGAAATTTATATACAGTGTTCGTTATTCCATACGAGGATTCCGGATATTTTTCGTTCCGTAATATTGATCAACCAATTGTACAAAATCGCACATTTATGCGGAGA